TGGAGATCTATGACAGCCGCCCTACTACTAGTTGATGGAACTTGATGATGATGAAGACAAAATTTGTGATGGTTAAAAGTTTAAAAAAATAAGACACGATCTTCTTCTTACACTGTCCTTTCAGGTATAGCTTCCGATAGCCAATCAGATTAGAGAATTTTGCTACGATTAATTATTATAATCATAACTATAACAAGCGGGCTATTCAAGAACACCCCACCTCCCCCGCCCCCCATGTGGTTAGCCTGTTAGACACAATCTTTTGTCTTGCGAATCGGAGGTAAGACTACATGAATCTTGCATTTTCCGACAAACTGCACTATAAATGTATTTAGATCTTAGACTTTTTATTGTGATAGTGTAAGAGAGTAGGCCCAGTCTATCCGTGGGGTAGTGGACCACATGTCTTATGCTTACCCTGGCTGCAGTGGTTCGTTTTCATTATACCTACGATAAAGAAAACCGCACCCACAGCCAGGGTACATTATGCTTAACATGCGGCAAAGAATACGACTACATCGGCATAATACCAGAAGCTTCAGATGAAAGTGAATAGGGAGTTTTAGATACCTTTCGATGCCGACGGCGATGGCAATGAGAACTGTTGATTTATTAGAGTAGATGACAAGGAACACGGCAAGGATCGAAGTCAACAACATTAAAGTGGAGTTTAAACCGCCATTACAAAAATAAAGCACATGGTCGATAGAGAGTATCATGAAGAATCATGGGAACGCTAGGTACGTACTACGTGCATATTACAACTCGCGTGAAGGCGAATTCTCCTGAGGTTGAACTCTCAAGAACCATAACTAAGGTTAAGGTGAGATTTATTGCCGTGTAGAAATCGGATTTGTCAGACCCTAACGTATGACGGTACTGTGTGTAAAAATCTTCACTAAAGACCACAAATTAACAAACTTCTAGGGTTCTTCAACGTGGCCGATTCCTCAAGATCTAGTACAATATGCAAGTATGCATACTATAAAATACTGCTGATTATTACACTGGCCTTGATCGCAAGCTACAACCCTGAACAACAGTCATTGGGACCGTAATGCTTTATTCATAATTTTATGCAACTTTTGGGTGCCCTCATAGAACAGTGCATCCTTTTCGAAAATTGGTTCCAGTTCTCCCTCCCCCACCTTATGTTGAAACTCGGTAAATATTCTGGATACAAGCGTCCAACGTTGTTTGCGAGGTGGGGCGAAGGGTTGGGTTAGTGTTAGGGTTAGGGTTAGTCCCACAAAGTCTTTTGTCCAGTATTATATTTCCTGTTCTTTAGGCCTCAATACTGTTGGATTCCGTGCCACCAAAACACTAACCTGGGACCAGGCTCCATTTTCGTTTCGCTTGATAAATAAAATTCTGGTGAAACGAAATTGTTGAAAATTTAGCGCGACCACGTAAGAAACAATGTATGCAAGCTGCTAAAATTGGGCCTATCTTAGGTTAACAAAAGACAGGTGACATCTTTGTAGTTTAGAATATATTTAATATGTTTTAATATTATTGACCTTAAAACTGCTTCTTTGGAAATAAATTCTATCTCAATTCTCTAAAACTTTAAATTCTGGAGAACTGGCTAGAAAATCTTAGGATTATTTCAGCTCCAGGCGTTATTAAGTACAAATAAATATATATTTTTTCTCTTTCACGTGAGTATGTAATTAATTAAGTACAAGGTGAATAAAGGTATTGTTGTTGTAAATATAAGTTAACTGTCTTTGCTTGTTGCCTTTTCGTGGTGGTGCAACGAAGAGTGGGAGTCTTATCCCCGCAGTCATCAGACCTGTTACAACCGCCTGTAACCTCTCGTGAGAGAATCATTGTGCCTTGGACAATAATTAGTGACGACATCAGTTTGAGGTGTCATAGACAACCTTGATAACTAGCTGTTGTGCAAGGGGAAGAGATATTTCGAAACATACAAAAATAAGCATGATTCAGTCAACGTTGAAAATCTTGTTCCATGGCCGTTCTGTACTTCACGAATCGCTGTATTCACTTTAATTTCACGAGCGTCGGGATTTTCGCGGAAGCTTCTCCCACCGAAATGAAACCTTAATTCCATCTCTTACCATCACCCCCAAAAAAGTTGAAAAATAAGGGTAAAAAAAAAAAAACAGAAAAGGGGAGAAATTCTGTTTTCTGCCCATGCCCGAACCTCCGACTCCAAACCAAACAGTAACCATGTCTGCAAGTGTCCAACAGTTCCATGAGGATGTTCAAAACCTTTTACCCGAATAATTTCAAGCATATTGCATCATTTTTTACTTTTTTCACGGGCTATAAATGTAATAAGTTATATGAAATAACTCCAAAGAAAAGGTTTTTATGAGAGCCCGAGAAAATAATTTTACATGTGTTTTCTATTCCGGTGAAATTTGAAATATATTTTCTTGCGGCTCCCAAAAGAAATTGTCTTTCTGCTGATCCGGGTGTTTCACCCTGGGAAAATTTGTTGAATCCTCGGTACACTCGAGTTTTATTCAACACTTGATATCTCGTTTTCGCAGGCCCGGTGAGACTGGTTTAATGCTCTGCAAAAACAGAAATTAGAGAAATGTTCATGTCTGTTGAAGTGTTTTTATTCGATTCCAGCAGATCCCCAGTGAGCTTTCTCAGGTTGATCGATTCTGGTGATAGGTCTGAGAGGAGTCCAAATCGGCCTGTAATCCTACGAGAGATTAATATAAACAAAATCAGACGTCGAAGCAGCGAAAGTCCGATTTGTTTAATGATCAGTACGATTACAAACCGAATTGGACGACACCAAGTCCTGTTACCAATTAATCATAACTAAGACAAAATTTGAAGGGAAGAGAGGACAGGGGAGACCAAGAGTTACCCGGATAAAAAACATCAAAGAATGGTTAGGACACACCTGTAATAGACGTGTAAGAAGAGCGGATAAAAAACAGTTCTCAGTACTACGGTGAAACCCCGATATAACGAACCTCTATATAGCAAAGTCTTCGGTATAACGAATGATTTTCTTTGCCCGGTAATAATAAAATATATGGAAAAGAACCTCGATATAACAAAACCTCGTTGTAGCGAACAGATTTTGTCAGTCCGGCCTTGCCCCTTCGTTATATCGAGGTTCCACTGTTATCAATAACATTGTTTCCAATATTTACTGTGCATTAACCAACAAACGGTTTTTTTTACACCTTATTTATGAGAGGGCAATTCGAGCTTTATTCGTGATGACGGTTATGAGGCTTTTGACTCCCAAAAAAAAGATGTTGTACTGACCAAAGAACGCTGTACTCTCTCTTCTTATTTGGAAACACTGTGAAAAGCAAACAGGTATTACTAAAGTAGATGTGTTTTGATGAGGATCATGCCACGAATTTTTAGCATCCTTTAAAATAATTAAAAATGTGTCTGTGCCGAGGGCGAAACCTTTAAATATTGGATCGCTTATTTAACAATTAGTGTTATATTTAGTAAAAAGGTAGGAGATAGTTTTACCAAAAATCCTGACCACGTAGCAGTTTTAATACTGACTACTGATAGTGGTTTTGATACTTCTCAGATAGCAATGAAGAAGTTACTGACTTGCCTTTAGTGATTCGCTTCTTCGCTCCAATACCGATTTGACATGAAACATGCTAACGTGTTAATCCGGATATTTTTAAAGATATTTAGAAGATTTTGAGATACAGAAAATCTCGCGATATTTATAG